TATTCTTTATAGAGATATGGATATTATTAGTTATTACTGAAATCATGAATGAATCATTGTTAGACCACTATTAGAAACTTGGACACAATAGACGGCCGTTTCGTCCTGGTATGTGACTCATCAGTGGCAGTGGTCATTCATAATGATTGATTCATAATTCAGTAAAATCTGTCCATAGACTTCTTTTCAAGTTCTACGCAATCTATTCTATTCACGTTTGCCTCCAATTCTCAGCGTAACGTTTTCTTCGATCTGCCTCTTTTTATTTGGCCTTGAGGATTTCATTTAAGGGCTTGTCTTGTGATGCACTTGAGTGCTCTCCTTAATGTGTGTCCTATCCACCTCCAGTGCTTCTGTCTAATTGTTTTTTCTGCTGGAATCCTGTTTTTTCTATTCCAAAGTAAACCATATTAGGCTTTCATTCACAGCCGTCACACAAACGAGGTTCTCTTAACAATGATATGTGGAAATTAAAAGGAAGATTTACTTCACAGCATATTCAATCGTTCGTACAAATCAGAGTCAGATTCCTGAGCTGCTAAACATGATCTAATTATGACGATGCATGACCAAGAGCTTGTTGGGGACGTTAGATTCCCAGAACTCACTTGGAAAGGTCCTAATTTTGTAATTTTATTCTAAGATTTTGAATTTTATGTTTTCGCGCCAAAGATGCTTAGGAAATCCTTGACTGCCATTGGTTGTTGGATTATTTTAGTACGCTATTTTGTAGCTCTCCCAAGGGCGTTTCTATCATTGTATAAATAGGCTTGATTTGCGTGCTTAGCAACCTTGTATTTTCTGAGTGCTTGAAGAATACATTCTCTACACCTTATCAAAACTTCTTGATCTAGTTAGCAGGGCCGGGGACAAACGGATTAGAATAGCCTATCATGTCAGTGAGTCATTGCTCTTCGTTCCGTTTGTAGTGAAGGAGAACACAGGTGAGGGAAACCGAATTGTATTTAAAGAAAATTACAGAGTTACTCAGTAAAATAGGAAAACCATATCGTAAACGGTTAATCTGCAAATCTTCAATCCATCATCAATCCATTGTCTGACATTTCACTACTATTCATGCGTTTCATACAAATTCCATTGTGTTCCCACTCTTCCTTTCTTGATCTTCTTCCATCTTCTGCTGCCAGACATTACGTTGACACTCACATCATATACTACTTATAAGTAGCTCGCACCACACTACTACCTCTACCACTATGAGATTCAAACTGACAAGTGCATCTCTGTGTACTGATGTGATATGACAACTTAAACTGATGTACGTACCTGACTGACTGACATAATCGATTTCAATGAATTCATCTAACTGATGTTGAATATTTCATTAAACCAAATCCTAGAATTTAACTGAAATAAAACTTACATAACACTCGCTTCATATACTACTTATAAGTAGCGCGCACCACACGTTTACCGAGTAAAGTGAGTTAGTAATAGTTTCGAGTAAATCAGAGCTTTCATGTTATCGGTATCCATTAAAACAAGCACATTCAGTTTCAATGTTCAACACCTGCAAAGCAAACCATATGTTCATTTATTTTTTTTTGTTTTACCTATTTGAAAATGTCACATGATCGGAGTTAGTTCATGAATTAACTTAACACATTTTTGTATTCAGTGAGGATTTGATTCTATTCAATGTTCAATTTCTTTTTTTTTTGGTCAAGTACCGCTAAAATATTTTCAAAAATTTAATTTTTTTTTTATAGTTAACTTTTTTGGATTGTAAAGTATTACTTAGTCCAGATCATGAAGCATCCAATGGTTTAATTCATCGAATTGATGGAGTAAGTTAAATACCCTATTGATTGGATAAAATGTTCGTTATTGTTCATGCTTAACTGATTCAGTGCTTGTGTTATAATTTAATATGATTACATAATAATGATAATTCTCGCATCATAGTATTATGTTGTTTTACCTCGAAATTATGAATAAATCATTGTTAGGCCACTCTATTAGAAATCTGGAAGCACTAGATGGCTGTTTTGTCCTAGTATGAGTCTCATCAGTGGCACTGTGCATCCACAACTTCTGCCAGTCGGACGATTCGAACCAAGGACATTTAGTCTTGTGCGCTATCGCTTAACCCCCTGAACCACTGAGATGGCCAGCACCCAGCGGTTTTATTGTCTATCTCTGATCAATCTAAGGATTTCGCACAACCTCACCCACTGTCTTTGGTAGTTACTGCCTACACCCAACAGGGTTTAACTCCACTGGGTGAGAGTGATCAAAGTTAGACATTAGCACAGTTGGATACTGACTCAGTGGTTTACAGGTTAAGCGTTTGAGCACAAGACTGAAGGTCCTGGGTTTGAATCCTGAGGGTAGCAGGATTCAAGGATGTGCACTGCTGATGAGTCCCATACCAGGACTTGATGGCTATCAAGTGCTCCCAGGTTTCTAATCGTGGTCTAACAGTGATTCATTAATTATTTCAAGGTAAAACTAACAAAGCTTATAACACACAGTTCACATATGCTTTTCTGAAAAACCATTTGACGTTATTTAGACTATAAATCTAGTATAAAATAAAATATCGTCTGTATATTGAAAAAGACTTAAATTGACTGAACAAACATCCATTGACTAACTTAATTAAAGTCACCTGTTGGAGTCTCACGAAAATTGTTATGAACAGCCTTCAGTAACATCCGTGATTTCAGTCACACTCAAAAATCCTCACAATCCTATAGTAAAAATTATCATGTACTCACTAATGATCAGCTCCGTAAGAGAATTTCTCCAAGTTCTAGTTAGAAGTCTTGACCAGTAAAGTTCTTCAACTTTGTCCGGTGTGAAGCAGTGCTCACCGAAGACAATGGATGAGATCGTGTAAGACAATCGTTTGGTAGAAGTTAAACATCAACACTATGGACTGAACGTCCGCGTGAGAGACTGTAGGTCCTGAGTTCGATTCCCGTGTGTGAAGTACATACATGCGTAATCTCTATATAACTAAGTGGATAAAAGATAGTGTTAATCTCAATCAATCAGCAATATCCTTAATCTATTTCATGCGGGTGGATAAGTGTCTCACACCAAGCATAAATCGAATTCAATTAATCACGTCTTCTTACTAGAATTCCAATTAAGAGCAGTTTGTATTGTCAACCATGAAAATATTACAATCGTCACAAAAAATTTTCTATTTTTTACCAAATCACTATTAATATACTACTGAATTAAATCATTACTCCTCTCGTTTCATAAAAGAAATCTAACTTATCTACACACAAGGAGCATGTTGAATTTCTGTATTTAGACGGCATAACACGATTCATTTTTCTTATCATGAAGAGTTGACGAGTAAATAAAAGGTTTTATTCACTAATTTCATTGAATACAACAACCCTGGGTTCGATTCCCGTGGATGAGGGTTGTGGATGTACATTGCCGACGAGTCCCAAACTAGGACGAAACAGCTATCTAATGCTTCTAGGTTTCTAATGGTAGTCTAACGACGATTGACTCATCATTTCACAATTTCTATACAGTAATCGTTAGCTTCGTTTAATAAAAGTTTGAATATATACATCCTTATAAATTGGTCGTTATTGACTAACGTATTTACTTACGCCTGTTATGTCTCAACGATATTCAACCAACTTTAGCCTCCGCTCTTCTTTCCAACTATCCGCAAGTGTTATTCAATCTTTTGATATCTATCTACCTGCGATTCTTGACGTAATGTATACTTTAATCTACCTCTTTGTCTTTAGACATGAGGATCCTATATAAAGGCTGACAGACTCACTCCAAATGAAGTGAAATAGTAGATTGCTGTGAACCAACAAAAACCCCAACCAGAAAAAATCAATAAAATAGTTGTTCTGTTTGTTTGTATTTCTCTCTCTAATGTTTACATATTTTCATTTCATTTAGGCTCTTCCACCGACACATAAATATCCAACAGTATTAAAACGTTTAACAGCTGAATCTGATCTGTCAGCATTTGTACAAAGTTTACCACAAGATTTGAAAAGAAAATTAGATGAACCGAATTCAAATGAATGGTATACAGTTTTCGCGGTACCAAATAATGTTTGGAATAAATTGACATCGGGCATTGTTGCAACCGAAGTAAATGTTGATTTTTATAGAGTATTTTTTTCAGAAAAAGATATTACTATGAATGGATAAACTTACTTGAATATAATTACTTACCTCCAATGAAGCATAGGCCACCGACCAGAATTCTTCAACCTACTCTTTCCTGAGCTTCCCCTTCCAGTTCTGTCTGTCTGTCTCCATTTCTCAGCGCAATGTGTTCCTTGACCTTCCTCTTTTCCTTTTGCTTCGAGGGTTCCATGTGAGGGCTTGTCTTGTGATGCAGTTAGGTGCTTTTCGTAGTGTGTATGTCCTATCCACCAACATCACCGCTTCTTCCCGATTTCCTCCTCCAATCGAAGTCTGGTTTGTTCTCTCCCACAATAGGTTGTTGCTCATGGTGTCTGGCCAGTGGATACGAAGTATTTTGCGTAGACAACTGTTAATAAACACTTGTATCTTCTGGATGATGGCTTTCGTAGTTCTCCAAGTTTCCGCTCCATACAGTAGAACTGTCTTGACATTTGTATTGAAAATCCTGATTTTGGTTTTGTTTGAAAGTTGTTTGGAGTTCCAGATATTTTTCGATTGTAGAAACGCAGCCCTTGCTTTGCCAATCCGTGCCCTCACATCTACATCGGATCCACCTTGGTTTTCGATGATGCTGCCCAGATATGTGAAGGTGCTAACGTCCTCCAAGGCATCCCCATCAAGGGTGATTTGATTGGTGTATGTTGTGTTGCATCGGAGAATTTTGCTTTTTCCTTTATTTATGTTGAGACCTGCTGCTGCTGCAGAGGCTGCTGCTACACTGGTCGTCTTCTGTTGCATTTGTTGTTGAGTGTGCGATAGAAGAGCCAAGTCATCTGCGAAGTCCAGATCGTCCAGCTGCGTCCTAACTGGATAAACTTACTTAAATATAATTACTTACCTCCAATGAAGCATAGGCTACCGACCAGAATTCTTCAACCTACTCTGTCTTGGGCTTCCCTTTCCAGTTCTGGCCAATTTTTGTTCATTCTTCTCATGTCTGCCTCCATTTCTTGACGGAATGTGTTCCTTGGTCTTCCTCTTTTCATTTGACCTTGAGGGTATCATGTGAGGGCTTGTCTTGAGACGCAGTTGGGGACTTTCCGCAATGTGTCCTATCCTCTTCCTGATTTCCAACTCCACTGGAATCTGGTTTATTCTCTCCCACAATAGGTTGTTGCTGATAGTGTCTGGCCAGTGGATCCGAAGTATTTTGCGTAGACAACTGTTAATAAATACTTGAATCTTGTGGATGATGGTTTTCTTAGTTCTCCAAAATTTCCTCCTCATACAGTAGAATTGTTTTAATATTTGTATTGAAAATTCTGACTTCGGTGTTGGTTGATAGTTGTTTTGAGTTCCAGATGTTCTTCAGTAGTAGAAATGCAGCCCTTACACTGCCGATCCATGCCTTCATATTTGCATCGGATCCACCTTGCTCATCAATGATGCTGCCCAGATTTATTCAAATATACAAGTATTTTAAAAGACTGTAAAATAGAGAAATTTCATTGAGGTTGGTTATTTTCAAGATCATTTTCACTATAAACCAACATTATTTAGATAACTGTTTAAATGCAATCAGAATCGGATGTCTGTTTGGCTTTATTTATAAGACAAGTTTAACAGTGGGAAAGCATAACTGCATTAAACCCTTTGGGCAATATAATCAGCATGTTAGGTTTATAAAAATGAGGTAGTAATCGAAATTAATCAGCTTGATGATACTGCGAAACTATTATCTATTACAATCAATGAAACCTGTTTCTCCATGGAACTTTGTTGAGCTGATTTTCAGAGTTTAAGATGAAAAATTCAATAGCTATTCAACAGTCTCTCTATTTTCACTCAGAGTTTTGGAGGTTTGTATTTTTACACATTTGAAATCATCAATCAATCATTGTTAGACCATCAGGTGCAGAAGTCTCTCTATTATTCAGTGGTAATCTATCTACATTAGTCCATTTATATATCAATCAATCTTCATAATCAATAAAAGTTTTATTTCATTGCCATTGTTTAGGCTCTTTTAAAAACAATTTTCTATGATTGAAAAAACTTGATAAATAAATGAATTTAGTTACATTCATTAAGCTACTGTGATTGGTGATGAATACCATTCCCAATATTATTTTGTTCATGACTGAAGAATTTGAGATACGTGAGAGGTTTGGAGATGTCATGGATTCGACATGAATACTAAAATCCAGTCAACTTAGAAGTCGGTGACGAAGGAAGTTAAAGATATATTTGGAAGATAGCTGATTTGTCTTGAAATGTGTAATCTAAACTGATTAGTTGTTACCAGTGGAGGTGTCACGTGGCATACTTGATGGTGATTTGACATAAACGCCTGACCAATAGCGTTCATTGATTTGGGGAATTTATTTGCGATTACAGGCTAGTTGTTAGTTTACTAGACTATTGTCTGAGGCTTTCTTTTCATCACGCTGAAAAACTTTCAACAACATAATTTAACATTAGATTAACTAACAGTTCTACTATTTAATATGTTGTGAATTCAGGATAGTTTAAATTTAAAGTTTCATCTTAAAATATGTTCAGAAAATTTCGAAATGTCTACTTCCAAACCAAATCTGTATTTCATACCTCAATGGAGCATGGGCTGCGGACCAACATTCTCCAACCTACTCTAACCTGGGGCTTCCTTTCTGACTCTATCCACCTGAACTGGCGATGAGAAGTGAAGTAGTTAGGCGTGTTGACTGCTTTCTTTATCTTCAGAATCTCATCAGTCCTGATATCTGATAAAATCACGGTATGGATACGGAAGGCTTGTATGGATTTCATCAACGTTCATCAGTTGGTGAGATATCCGTTTGCTAACCAAAAAACGAGTTTATTGAGTAGCAGTCTGCTCCGTCCTACAATACGGGTGTGAAACATAGCCACTAAGATTGGAGGATATTCGTAGGGTACTATTATTCGATCATAGATGTTTCTGAAGCATTGTTCGTATATCCTGGGACAACCGAATAAGCAAGGAAAAGAGTAAGTAAGAGTACTAGGTAAGGATAGAAAATCAGTAAATGAAGCATTGAAACTTCATCAGTTTGAGGTGGTTGGGATATGTGTTACATATGCTTAACCAGCAAATGTTTCGACGGGTGATGTTTTGTGGTGTAGGAGTAGATTGGAAGAATCCTGGAGGAGGTCAAACCAAAAACATGGCACAAATCTATGATGGTACTGACAAATGGACTGAGCCATGTTATTAAGTGTAGACTAGCCACTCGTAGTCGGCGAGACAGTTGTACCCGATGATTAAAGACTTCGAACGACATGGCTCATAATCGTTTGCATTGGCACAGGTGTATCCATTCTTTGTCTTCATTCAAATTCTAATCTTCCGAATTTCTCATCACCTTTATCTTTCTCTTTTTAAGTGTATTTCACTGGATTGTACAACTCTGAAGCATAATCTCCTCCACTATGGCTTATATTTCTGCTATGGGATTTGAATGGACAATTGCCTCTCTGTGTACTAATGTATTAATCGCAACCAGAACTGATGTATGTACCTACGTACGTACATATGAAGTTCTACGTTGTTTACTTAAGTTATCTCATTATCTTTTTAAGTAGTACTCTTTTAAGAATGATTTTATCAAATTTTCTTCTGAAAATTTTCTGATTATTTGATGAGGCATTACAACTTCCTTCCTTCCTTCCTTTTTTTTTTATTAAGACTAAAGAAGCGTTAGCACGACATCATGTCATGAATAAAATGCTTTGTTCCGATGCAATTGTCAAAAATTCTAAACATATTGGTCCAACATTAAGTGAAGCTTATATTGGCATACAAAGAAATTCAAATGGAAATTTAATTATCAATGATTTATGCAATAAACAAATACCAATTCAACGAACAGATTTAATGTCTGGTACAGGTGTGATACATATTATTGAAAATTCAATAAGTAGTTTGGAATGTAAGTAGAAATTTTTATATGTCACTGTTAATATTACTACTACTACTGTAGTGACGGAGAACACAGGTGGGGCAACCGTATTATATTTCGCGAAAATTACAGAGTTACTCAGTAAAATCGGAAAACCATATCGTAAATCGTTCATTTGCAAAATATCAGTTCATCATATCGAACTGGACTGTTCCTGTTGCAAAACATCAATCCATTGTCACTGTTCATGCGTTTCATACAAATTCCATTGTGTTCTTCTAACTCTTCCTTTCTTGATCTTCACCCATCTTCTGCTGCCAGACATTACGTTGACACTCACGTCATATACTACTTATAAGTAGCTCGCACCACACTACTACTACTACTACTACTACAAGAATAAGTCATGAGTATTAACCAGTATCTTGTTGTTTAGGCTTTAGATATGCAGAAACTAACTTTTAGTCTGTGTACATATATGATGAGCTTAAAACGCTTGTTCCAGCCCTTGAACAAATCAATGAATCCATTCTTCTTGAATAGTTATTCACAAAACTTATGACCTTGATTGTTTTTACTCGAGTGAGTATGTGCATTGTTTGCTCTGCTTATCAAATGTCTAGCCTGTTTTCGCCTGACAATGTATACTTCTTAGGCATGCCTCATCAGACTGAATGGGCTCACTTGCCTTCTCCTCTTCGCTTCGCTTCGCTCAGTATTCTCATATCTGTCTGCGCGAACGACTGCCTAAAATAAACTCATCAAAGTGAATCCGCCGTCGCCTAAGTATGATATATGGAAATTGAACAGAATAATCTCAGCGCACTCTCGACTGTTAGTCCGAATTTGAGTCACATCGTGAGCCACTTAAAACTGACTAGATTTTTACTCCTTCCTTATTAAATATCACTTAATTACATCCGAAAAGTTATTTATAAATCATACAGTTTGTGCTTATGTTTCTATATACTCAGTGGCTTTTTAACAATCCATGTGTTAACACTTTTGAAACAATGAATCGACTAATCTCAGATCATCATTAGAAACTTGGAAGCACTGGACGGCCGTTTCGTCCTGGTATGGGAGTCTTCAGATGTGCGTATTCGCGACTCCTGCACCTCGCATGATTCGAACCCAGGACCTTCGGTCTTGAGTGCAAACGCCTAACCTCTGGACCAATGAGCCGGTATCTAACAGTGTTAATGTCTAACTTCGATCAATTCATGGAGTTGTGCAACCTCATACACAGTCTTCGGTAGTTACTGTCTACACCCGAACAGGTTGAACTTCACTGGTCATGACTTCCCACTAGAACTCGGAGAAGATTCCTCATGAAGCTAATCACTAGTGAGCACAGGTAATTTGCATTACGGGGTTGTGAAGATTGTTAATTTACACATTTTGCGCAACTCCGTGAATTGATCAAGTTAAACATTAACAACAATTAGAAACCGGTCCAGTGGTCCAGTTGTTCGCGCGCAATACCGGAGGTCCTGAGTTCAAACCCTGCGGAGTGCAGGAATCGTGGGTGCGCACTGCCACTGATGAGTCCCATACCAGGAGAAACGGCCGTCCAGTGCTTCCAGGTTCCTAATGATGATCTGAGATTAGTCGATTCATGGTTTCAAAAAAATGTGTAACTTAACAATCTTTACAACCCCGTAATGCAAATCCATTTGTTGTTCCATGAAATTTGCATTAGAACTTATCTACCTGATAAGATCAACACAGTGAGTGTTCATTTACTTAATACATAGATGAATAATTTAAAATTACGAACAGATCAATGTTATACCATCATTAGAAATCTGAAACCACTGAACAGCGGCTTTGTCTTGACATGAGACTCATTAGCAATGTGTATCTACGACTCCCGTGACTCTCTGAACACAAACCCAGGACCTTTGGTGTTGCTCGCCAATGCCTAACATCTAAACCACTGATCTGGTATCTAATCGTAATATTGTCTAACTTCGATCAATCTAAGGTCTTATGCAACCTCATCAACTTTCTTAAATGAGCACTGCTTCACACCTCTCATGGAAGCTTCTAGTGAAAAGTTCTGACAGTGGAGTTCGACCATTTTCAAGTGTAGGCATTAACAACCGAAGACAATGGATAAGGTTGCTCAAGACCGTGGTTTCACTGAAGTTATACATTTACACCATTGGATTCTAGCTTAACAGTCCAGGATGAAATGCCCGTTCAATGTTCCCAGGTTTCTAATGGTGGTCAAACATTGATCGATTCATGATTTCAAAAAGTAATTCAACAATCTCCACACATCCATTTTTAATGTGAATAACTTTTATCAAGTAATAACACTTTATGCGCTACAATTCCATAAAAACTACTAGAGATTGTCATATCATAAATAATATTTATTAAAAATAATAATGTGGTGCGAGCTACTGATAAGTAGTATATGACGTGAGTGTCAACGTAATGTCTGGCAGCAGAAGATGAGGGTAAGATCAAGAAAGGAGGAAGAGTTAGAAGAACACAATGGAATTTGTATGAAACGCATGAATAGTAGTGACAATGGATTGATGTTTTGCAACAGGAACAGTCCAGTTCGATATGATGAACTGATATTTTGCAAATTAACGGTTACGATATGGTTTTCCCTATTTTACTACTGAGTAAACTCTGTAATTTTCGTTAAATACAATTTGGTTGCCCCACCTGTGTTCTCGTTCACTACAATAATACTTACAGAATTCTTGATATTTTTTAAATTTAGCAATGAAATTAAATGAAGCACTTGAATGTTTAGAAAATAATCCTTCATTAGGCGTTAAACAAGCTGCCAATGAAATGCGTAAATGTCAGATGGATCTTAGCTCGTCTGGTGATGATAATGTTATACTTCTACCGAATGATGCAGCTTTTCAATGTAAGTAAATTTATTTTATGAAATAAATAATATACATTTTTGAAACCATGTATCGATCAATGTTAGACCACCATTAGAAACCTGGGAGCACTGGACAGCTGTTTCGTCCTGGTATGAGACTCTTCAGCAGTGCGCATCCACGACTCCTGCACCCTGCAGGATCCGAACCCAGAACCTTCGGTGTTTTGCGCGACCACCCCAACCGTCAGACCACTGAGCCGGTACCCATCGGTGTTAATGTCTAACTTGATCAAATTCACGGAGTTGTGCAACCTCATACACAGTGTTCGGTAGTTACTGTCTAAACCTGAACAGGTTGAACTTCATTGGTCACGTCTTCCCACTAGAACTCGGAGAAGATTCCTCACGAAGCTAGTCACTAGTGAGTACAGGTAATTTGCATTACGGGGTCGTGAACATATCGGCTCAGTGGTCTAATAGTCAGTCAGCAACAGTATAGAACGTCGTACATCAATGTAAGCTGTCATACCACATACCATAGTACAGAGATGCAACTCTGTCGATTCAAATCCCATAGTGGTAGAGGAGAGATTAGGGTTTGAAGCATATTATTCAAGGAGTATAATAGTCCAGTGAAATAAATGTAAAAAAAACAACGAAAGATCAAGTCGTGAGGAATTAGGGAAGATTTGAATTTGATACAAGACAAAGAGTTGATAGAACTAAGCCGTTTCAAACGTTTTTGAGCCTCTAACCATTGGTTATCATCGTCTCATGAACTTCAACCGAATAGTCTACACCTATCAACATGATTCAGACCACTTGTCAATGACTTCGTGGATTTCTGCCATGTTTTGATTTGATCGCCACTAGCTTCCTTCCAACCTATTCCTATATCACAAAATCCAGAAGATTAGGATTTGAGAGAACACAGAGAATAAATGCACCTGCGCCATTGCAAACGGTTTTGAGCCATGTTATTCAGGGTATCTAACCATCGATTATTATCATCTCACGGACCCCAACCAGATAGCCAGCATCTAACAACATGACTCAGTCCACTAATCAGTGACTTCATGTATTTCTGCCATGTTTTGATCTGGCTGCCCCTAACCTTCTTCCAACCCACTCCTGCACCACAAAACATAGCTCGACGAGGCAGTCGTTGGTTGGGCATTCGTAACACCTGTCCCAACCATCTCAACTGAAGAAGTTTCACTGCTTCATTAATTAATTTGCCAGAAATAAATGATAATCATGAAATGGTACAGAGATATTTTCTCATGGTCATTTAACGATTAAAAATTGGACTTTATTGCTTTTCACATCTATTAACATTCTTTTTAATGACTTTTACAAACATTTACGTTTTTTATGTGCTATAAAAATATTTCAGAGAATGTCTGATTATTTAATTCGTTACCTAACCGATTATCCCTCTCTTTCATATTTGGTTGAACGTGTAATTAACATTTAAGAGAAACAGTTAAGCAAACGACTCCCACCTCAATAAATTTTACTGTCTATCACTGTTAGCTAGCTAATTGCAAAAAAAGTAGTGAGGGTTAGTGATTCGCATGTGATAGTATGCCCTGGGTTCAATTTTAGCTCTAAGGGTGTTTTCATTGGCAACTAAAATTGACCGTTTGATGACTGAGCTGAAAGTAAGGCGTATAGCTTTTTATTTCTGTTCAAAACATATAAATACCTACAACTATATACCACATCTTAACCAAGATCTCAAAGTCTCCTAGTGAATATCATTTCATTAATTCGATGAGTCGGAAGTCTGTAAGAGTTGCTACTTTATAGTCAGCTACATTATTTATGCTACTGTTTAAAATCACTCTTAGACCATTTAAAATTTTTGATCTTAGAATTGTTCCGTTGTATGTGTCGTGTTATAAACCGTAGTCAGATTTTGGTATAACAAAGAAATCACATATTCAAATACGAAGTTAATAACTTTTTTGATATTACTAATTAACGGCCTCAATATTTCACTATGGATGTTTATTGTCAATGAGGAAAACACACTTTAGAAACCCAAATTATTGAGATATCATAGGCGTCTTCGCATATGATAGCATAATCAACCAAGGAGAGCTTCCTCCAGATCACCCATCCATGTCACCCAAATACCTGAGATAAATAAAGTGATACCCTATAATTGTGTCAAACTCAATAATATCACACAATAAATTAGATTGGATACTCTTTAAATAAACATTAACTGGAGGACAAACTAGTAAAAATGTTAAGATAATTCAATTACAATGATCAGTCAAGCTAGATAAAACCAATTAT